GAGGGGTTAAATGCCTGGGTAGACTCGTACCCCATCCCTAAAAGGTCCGGGACAAGGTCGGCTCACGTGTCCTGAATAAACCTCTTGGACCTGTTTACAAACCCCAAGATTTGGACCATTTAATCTCGAGGAGTGATTTGGTGATGTCCTCTCCTTCGAAGATTTCAAATCTAGACCTAGCATACCTATCACACTCTGCGAGGTAGTGCCTTGCCGTTTCTTCTTTTATTTCGCAAAAACGGCAAAAGGGATCTGGTAGGATAGTCATTACGAAGAGGTGTCTTCTCAGTGGGCAGTGGCCCGTGAGAATACCTATCAGCCTCCCTTCCTTGAGATAGAGAATAGCAATTTCGATTCTGCTGGTTTGATCGCCTTAACAAACTCTTTCGATTGCCTCTGTCCGAGGGATAAATTCCACTCCCAAAAGGAATTGTTTCATCCCCCAGTTATTAATACTCTCGTCGACACACCCTACTCTGATCAGACAGAAACATTTTGTCCAAATAACGTGTGAACTTGACCTTAGACACTACACCTACGTTCACTATTATACATCTTTTGGATTATCGTTTTAGATCTAGATTTAGATTTTTAAATTTACCTCATCCACCCTAACATCGTAATAACTGGGCAACCAGTTCTTCCTCGACCGAGGATTGGAAGTCACGTGGACGAAATTTGCAGTGGTAATTTACTTTGAGATGGTTTCTGAGAGTCAGTTGATAAATTAGTAATTCTAGTCAATTAGGGAGAGTACGTGCTGTTCCGGAGGTAAAATTAACCGGTAAACCGCAAAAATGTCATCCTTCAGCATTACAACGCAAGACACTAATCGGACTGACCCAAAAATAAATGCATTGGATTACCTATCCCGCATTCCAGCGTACAGCCCCCGACCTCGCTCCTTCGGATTGACTTTTATAATAAGTAAAAGCTTGTGACAGAAAGTTAATTATTAAAAGTTATTCCTAGGCTATTTCAAAAGCTCTAGATATTTTTGAAAAAACAATTTATATCTTTTGGCGACGTTTCGGAATCTTTTGCCACATCGTCATGTCAAAACCTTTTTATTAGATTCTTGTGTTGTAAATGTAGAATACAAGTAAATGAAATTGAGCTAAGAATAGAAATTAAGCAATACAAATTTGTTTAAAATAACACAATAAAAGATGAGCCATAATGGAAAAAAATCTTATAATCGACCTCCATATTATTAGTTATAATTTTTATGAAGGATCCTTTACGCCCGTGAAAAAAATCAAATTTAACTTCACTAGTTTCGTGGTCCGCTTGACCAATTAATATCTTACAATTAATTAAGGTTTTCCGTTGAGATAAAAAAGTCAATGGCACGAGCGGGATTCGAACCCAAAATAAATTAGTAGCCTTGACACACAAAAGGTTAAAATGTATCTTCCAAAAAAAAGGCACCTTGTGTAGGCTTGAATTTCCGGGGTCCCAGTTTTGCCGTTCCAAGATGGCCGCAAAATCCCTTCTTGTTGGACAGTTGTACTTCTTATTAGCTGGACCTCTGATTGGCATATATCTCACAAACGCCTCACCACCTCGGCTGAGGAGTTTGTTTATGTTGTATCCCCTCTTTCTTCCAAACCTTCGGCCCCACATCGTACCTCAGAAGATTGTTTCTTCAGAAGAAGATTCTTAAGTGCGAGACGATTCCCAATAAATGGACAACAACGCCATAGAGAAAATCTAATTTCAAAATTGGCGAAATCGTCGCAAATGGAAGAATAAAAGGATAAGGATGAGCCTATATTCATACTGAGACTGTTGCTAGTCTGACTCCCTTATTATTATTATTATTATTATTATTATTACCCATACAAGTCTATGGGAAATGTTTAAATTATGGAACAAAAATTCACAAATCTAATGAAAAAAAAGAAACATAAATAAATTTTATATGTAATTTAAAATGGGATTTTTGCATACATTTGGCCTTCAAAATTAAGAATTTTAAACAGAAAAAAAAGAAAAATTAAAGCTTGGATGGCAATAGGATAAATTAATTTACGAGTGAATGTTTGGAGTCAGAGATAGCACCCAGAAGGGATATAGATAACCTAAGATAGAAGGTTTCGATGTTAGGGCGTGAAATGACCTTAGCCGTTAAACCGCCCTTAAAAATTATTAATAATAATAATAGTAATAAATTATAACAATAATAATAATTTCCTTTACTTTTACTTTTCTTTATTAAACGAGAATTAACGTCGATTTTAAAATTAATGTTTGTAGATTCTAAAATAGGTTTTATTATAGAATAAAAGATTCTTTAAATTAAAAATAATAATTAATAAAACAAATTGTAATCTTTTTTGAAAATTAATTGTAATAAAAGATTTAAATTTAATTAATATTTTGGTCTCGTATTTATTTTGGTTTGAATTGAATATTGGGATTTTGTATATCAAAAAAGGTGCCTGATCATTAAATTAAATTAATGTAGTCAGTTCCGATCATAAGAAAACCTCTGGGACCTTGTTTTCGGTTCTCCGAATTCAGGGTTGGGCTCAAAACAGAAGAAACACGCTTACATATATATATATATATACTTATATATATATTTGTTTGTTTGTGCGTATAGTTGTTTGTGTGTTTGTAATGAGTACGTGAGAGGGTAGTAGATGCAATGTCGAGATCAATCGTAAAGTTCAAGTTGGTTTTAAGTTTAGTTAAAGAACGCGCCTTACCCCTCTTAAGAACTATGGAATTGAATTAGGCGGGTGAGTAAAAAAAGATCTCTTACCAACAAGCCAGATACAAAAATGTTCTAGTCATAGCCATGATGACTGAAGGCAACTGACAGAACTGATTCTTGACGTCCTTGCTCTTACCTAAATTTCATGAATCTCGTCTGCCTTGGCCAAGGCGAATCAACATCGTGCCTACGTGAGATATTTGCTTCCTGGCAATTCCAACAAAGCAGTTTTGTATAGAAATAAATTACAATATTTGTCTAAGTAAGTGTCGTGTTTTAGACATATGCGATAAAAAATTTATATGAAAAGGAGTCAGAATGATGAAACTGACAAATATTAAAATTTGTAGTTTAAAAAACCTACAATTTGCTAAGATTTTACCTCGGTTCATTTAACTGTAATCATATAAATATAATACAAGCGATTTGTGTTTAAATATATCATTAAATTGACTGAAAATAGAATATAGTGAAAATATAAAACCTCAACTAATGAAGGGCTGTGATTTATATTATTTATTGTTAATTATCTAGTTGACCTTGACCGTTGGCAATCTCATATTTGTGATTTTGAAATTTTCCGTAAATCATCGGACAGGTTTTTATCACTCCAAATACGTCATCTTGACGGATCTGGTTCCGTTTTCTTTTAAAATTCCCTCGAACGACACAGTGGGTTTGTAAACAAAAATATAAACAACGATTATCCAATCACTCTAATTAATTGGTCGTGATATGAGATACCCACTTAGATATATCTTCGTTTTGTTCTGAATTGTTGTTACAGTTCGGCCCTCTTGTCAACAGACACAATATGAAACTGAGGGATGCTGCCAGAGCATTTTCAAGACCCAGATTCATCTTCTTCGCCCTCCATCACAATCTGAAACATACAAAAAAAAAGTTTTATATTGTTTATATTGCAAGGCTTGCGGTTTGAAAATTGCACGCAGCTTAACGTGACACTGACAAATCGATTTTCTAAAAATTTAACGTTAGGAAATAATAGCCGTGTTTTATATACACTGGCGCATATAAAGAGAATTTGTGCTCTTTTTCTCTGATCCGCATAAACTAGAATGGTGAAATTTTGCACGGACGTAGATCACGATAACCCAACAAGATAAAAATCAGCTCCTAATGGTCAACATTTCGTACAATAGTTACTTCTGTATTAGTCGAGATAAAATGTAAAACCCGACCTTACTTTAAACAAAATAAGTAATTATTTAAATACCGGCCGTTATTAAATTGTATTATTATTCACATGTAAAGTTTCAACATGTAACTCAAACTTGGAACATTTGGAGTGGAGTTAGATATTCAGTAATTTAGACTGAATTAAAAGTTAAGATCACTTGTAAAAAAATTGTTTATTAAAAACATTATTGTTACCCACACGATAAAACTGAATAAATAAATATTATCTACAATTTTACAATGTGAGAGCAAAACTAATAATCGTATATTTACTTAATGGATTGTTTTTTTGATCAATAGCTCCACGAAACATTGACATTCTTAACAATAATAAATAAAAATTATCTACGAGTTTACAACGTGAAAACAAAAACACAATAATAATACTATTAATTTATGTATTGTTTTTTGCATCAGCTCTCACGAAACATTGTTCGTTCTTAACAAAATACGGCGTATCTGTTGTGGTACATGCTCCAGTCAAACGCATACAAGTCTCTGCATTTTAGTCGTAGCTAGACTACATAAAACAACAAGGGCAGAGTGAATATTAACACAGTCCTGAAGTTAATAGATGCTGCACAAAAGATGCAAAGGAAAAAGCGATTCTACTTCTAAAGTTCTAATAAACATTCCCAGGCAGCCTAACCAATACTCATGGCTCTAAGAGAACATGAACAGGTTATTTGAGCTCAAGCAATCCGAACAGATCTAAGCATCAAAAAACCGGGAAAGAGGGAAAAATCCCTCCATTGAGAATGGCACCATGCCACCATCTGCTTGTATTGGGTTGTCCGGAAAATAATGCAGGATTTTAAGTTTTCATTAAAAAAAATCTATATAAAATATTCTGTTTACGTTTACAGGATTACTCATTTGTATGAATGTCAACACTTATTAATCCTCTTCCAAATGATATTGTTTGTTTACCTCTGTAGCATTCCGCTACTTGGAAATAATTCAGTCATCCTTATAATGTCAAAGCGAGAATTTCGTACGATTTTCTTTTACGAGTTTAAACTCGGCCGAAGCGGAGCCCAAACGGCTAGAAACATTAACCAAGTCTGGGGCGAGGGTTGGGTTAATGAGTGCACTGTGCAAAGGTGGTTTAAAAAATTTCGGGAGGGAGATTTCAGCCTTGAAGATGAAGAAGGTCGTGGAAGGCCTTCCTCTCTTAATGATGATGTTCTGCGATCAGTGGTGGAAGAAAACCCCAAAACAACTGTTCGAGAACTTGCTGACCACCTCAAGGCGATTGGAAAAGTGAAAAAACTCGAAAATTGGGTTCTACACTCATTAAACGATCGCCAAAAAAATCAGCGCTTTGATGTTTGTGCATCACTTCTTTGTCGAAACAAAAATGACCCATTTCTGGCCAGAATTGTTACATGTGACGAAAAGTGGATTCTCTACGATAACACTAGACGTTCTGGACAGTGGCTCGACAAAGGAGAAGCTCCAATACATTTTCCAAAGCCCCCAACTCATCAAAAAAAGGTAATGGTTACGGTATGGTGGGCTTCATTTGGTTTAATACACTACAGCTTCTTAAATCCTGGCGAAACCATCAATGCTGAATCATACTGTAACCAAATTAATACCATGCATCAGAAATTGGCAGTAATGAAGCCCTCTTTGGTCAATCGGAAAGGGCCCATTTTGTTGCATGACAACGCTCGACCACATGTGTCACGTGTAACGTCACAAAAATTATTGGAGCTTGGCTATGAAACTTTGCCTCACCCACCCTACTCTCCGGACCTCTCGCCTACTGACTACCATTTTTTTAGACACCTGGACCACTACTTACAACACATAATATTCAAAAATCAAACGGAACTGGAAAATGCATTTATTGACTTTATCAATTCTAAAAATTCTGAATTCTACTCAGACGGAATTAATAAGTTACCAACACGTTGGGAGAAATGTATTGAGAGTATGGGAAATTATTTTGATTAAAGAACATTGCTTTAAAGTAACTAGTTTCTTTTTTTTTGTTTAATACCAAAATCCTGCATTATTTTCCGGACAACCCAATACAATAATGGATCTAGAAACAAGATGGTACTGTGGCATGAGTGTTCGGTCCAAACCAAATACTGTGAACCCATGGAAAAATATCATGTCTTCAAGGCAGTCTATGTAATTGAGAGATATACTTAGTTCAATTTGAACAAACGGTACAAAAACAAGAATATAGCTATCCAGATATGCAAGCAACCATCAAAACCTTGCAAAACTAAACTAAAAAGGTTTGTTGCATATAAATTAAAGTCACACTCTGATGGGTCCCAGGAATGCGGGAGTAGAGGGCAACAGCGTATGAATGGGCTGCTGATCGCTGATAGGTCTTGAGCTCTTCTTTAGCAGCATATTCACACTGTCAATGAGTCTCTTAGACAAGGCAAAATGAAAACAAGGAAACAGTGAAATTCACTCATTAGATTCAAACAAATCAAGAATCTTCTAGCACGCTAAAGAAAGAAACAACAGACTGCATCAAAGGAAGCTGGAATATTCTTCGAGTCCTAACAGGATTCTTAATCGTTGACTGCAGATTAATTGGGCATTTGAAGGAGATTGCTATAAACCAACATGGCGCGTGCAGATTCTGCAAAGAAGCGGGTGAGACAATGTCTACATCTACTGACAAAATAACGAACTATATTTGCCTGCAGTTGAAAGTGTTTTGAGATGTTCAATGTAACTGCAGAAGAAATTCAAACCGGGCCTACTAATGAAGTTACTTAGGACCCACCGGTGTGCTATAGCTACAGAAGGGGGGAGTTTCAATTGTTCTCAAAAGGTGCAGTGTACACCCCAAATATTACATCTTATATCTTAACAAAACGCTACTTTACCACTCCAAGCTAAAACTAGTATGAACTTAACGCTAAAACATCTTCCGTGTTCAAAAAGCTCAATCAAAAATTCTTCCAAAAATCCTCGACACTCATTGTAGGTATTAAAGGAAACCATCACACATATATGTATGTATTTCCTTTGTTCAGGAAGTAACTGGTTGCACTACCGCAAAGTTCTCAAAATTTTCTTTCTACTACACACCTACGAATTGAAAAACTCTCATCGCATCTATATTCTTTCAGCCCTGCCCTTGACTAAAGAGACGAAAGCCTAGAGTTTTCTAAATAGTGATAAAGACGGCGAGACGGAGAAAAAAAGAATAAATAATCTCCTGATCCTGTGGACAGTTTCCATTGACCAAATAAATTCTTTTCAATTAATTAAGGCTTTAGTTTAGATAAAAAGTCAGTGCCACGAGCGGGATTCGAAATTTGAAAAATGGCAAAAAGGAGGGAAAATTCAAAAATGTGGGGTTGAGATGGGAAGTTAGGGTCCGAGTGGATCGAAGTCATGCTAACTCAAGTGGTAGAGCAGCGGCGGTATCAAGTCGAAGGTCGAGGGTTTGAATCCCGCTTGTGACACTGATTTTATCTCCACCAAAGCCTTAATTAATTGAAAAGACTCTATTTAAATTTTGCCAATTTTTTGTTGTTTGTTACCCCATATAGAGTTGTTGTCACATTAACTGATCAATGTATAATATAATAAAATATTATAATACAATATATTAAAATAGTATAATATAATAATAAAATAATTCAAATTCAATTATTCTAAATTGCCACGAAAAATAACTATTCAATTTTTTTGTAACTGCAAGGCATTAACCAAATGTGAAAGCGACAGCAGAAAAAAAAAACATTGGAAGCGTTTTAGTACAAATTTTCAATTGTGGGGACAAATACGAAATAAATTTGAACAAGTTCAGTGGTTGAATTACTCGAAAAAGTAATCCATATGGCGGAAAAGCTCGAGTCAATCAATACTTGTCTGGAACTGCCTAAATCCCTTAAAAACCTGGGATCTTCAAATAACCTAAAGCAATAGTCTTAGGTCTTGGTTGGAAGTACAGGTAACGAAGCAGCAGATATATTTGCTAAAAAGAAGCCTTGAAACATTCCATAGGTCCAAATCCATTTTGTGGCAAATATACAGCCCATTAAAAGAGAACTGGTAAATTGGGTAACTGAAGAACATAACAAATATTGGGAATGTAAATTAGGCATATAAAATGACGCAATGGGAGAAAGAGGAAATAATTCTCAACAGAAAACCATTAACAAATCTAAATGGTACATTCACAGGATATGCTCCAGGTATCATGTTAAAAACATGGGACTATCATCAGATGACTAATGTCGTTTATATCTAGAAGAGGCAGATATAATAGAACTTATCATACGGAACTGCCCTGCAATCACTACGAAAATGTTATGGTACCTAAGAAAACCTCCCTTGACCTATAAAGAAGGCCTTCTTCATACCATTCCTCTGAAAGTAATTCTTTATTTCATTAAAGAAATGAAAATATTCCATGCATTCTATTAAAAGCGATTGTTAGAAGAAGACAGTTTAAGTGCTAAAGGGAGAAATCCATATGCTACGAATTAGACAATTAGTGTATGCCTGTTTGAGCATAAACTTTACCTTTCAAATGTTTATACATTGTACAAGTACAAATGACAAATAAATAACAGGGGAAATGTTTAGGGCCATTAAACATCATGGTGCTAGAGTTAACATTACAAATTTTATATTAAAGTTTAGCGATTGTTACGAAAATGGAGAAAAACCACTTGCAATACGTCTGGTTAC